GCCATGATCAACACTCGAGCCCCTGCTATATAACACACCACCACGCACATGCTCCCATAGCACTTCTTGCTCTATTACCCTTTAGCACTCGCACACATGTGGAGCTGGCATCTCAAATTGGACTAGTGCCCAAAGGGCAATTTTTCGGTAAACTCGTATGATCGGTCAGACACTCGTCGACCAATTAGTTGGGTTTAAAGAAAGGTTATTTACACTAGTCTAATTGGCGTCCGAGTCAGCCGCTCCCTCAGCACGTAACTGTCCATATCCATCATATGCGGTCTCAGCCTCCCCACGGGAGCCCCCTCATCTGTCTCACCAGTGAGTATGCGGCACAATACAGACACAGCGGAATCTAACGGGCTTCTATTTTCCTCGCCGTGTCTCTCATTTCTTCCGAGCTATATCTACCTGGCGGTCTCAGTGGGAACACTTATCGCTCTCTCTGAATCACCAGGTATGTCTCTTTCTTCTTGTAGTGGTTTCCCTTCAGCTTACAGGTCACTCTCGTTGAATTGACAGAGCTTTCATGTTTTTGAGCACCCTCCCTGGACAGTACTCTTAGCTTTCATTCAGACTATTTGGACTATCATTGCTATGGACTATCATTACCATGGACTTCTTCATAGTTGATGGACACACTTATTGGACTTGCTTAGTTTACAAACCGATGTACAGTACTGTCTCCCTCCCAGTGCTCGCACACACGCAGAGCTGGCGTCTCAAATTGGACTAGTGCCCAAAGGGCAATTTTTCGGTAAACTCGTACAATTGGTCGGACACTCGTCGACCAATTAGATGATATTTGAATCAAAAATACAGTAAGAAAACTTTGGATATAGCTTTTATATTTGGGGAAATTGCCTCAAAACTCAAAGAAATCATGAATATTGAAAACATATTTCGACTATTTCTTAGATATTTTAGGTTCAGATATTGCTAAAAATAAATATCTTTTGATTTCAATATTTTAGCATTAAATATTGAAGCTACCATGCAGTGCTAGTCACCAACTCAAGTCATTTGTACTTAGCATACTCCAACATCTCTCAATAAAGTAGATTGTTAAAACAATATTACAGCTATCTTATAATGTTTTTTAATGTTTACTGAAGCTGCAAACTTTATTTATAAGGTGTATACAGATCTACATCAATAACATATTTGTTAAAGATATTCATCCAAATTTTAGTGATTGGTATTTATAATAATTGTTTCATATATATATTAAAATAGCACAACTAATGTGTCTGAGATTCTATTACTATGTATAGTAGATATAAATAGATACAAATACTAGTTATTGTCATAATTGAAGCATACCAGTCTTGTATTCCATACATTCCAATCAGATATGGTAAAGATCAACTATGCTATCTTCTTTCTTTCTGGTATCACCCTTGACTGGTTCAAGCTGGATATCCTTTATTCTAACCACCACAACTCTCCTGCCTGGGTATACTCCTATGCCACCTTTCTTTTAGAACTCTGAATCAACTTCGGCCTCTTTGACACTGTTAGTAATGCTGAAGATGAACTCAAAAACCTTTGGATGCATGATAGAGACCACATCATGAAGTATATTGTCAAATTCAATCAGTATGCTGCCATTATTGGCTACAGTGACAACTCCCTTCATCACACTTTCTACTGTGGTCTTTGCTCCTGCATCAAGGATGATGTGGCTTATCATGGAAAATCTGATAATCTCCATGATATGCGGAATTTTGCTTGAGAGCTTGATGCTCACTACTGGACTTGGAGAGCCGAAATCTCCTGAGAAAATCTCAGCAATCTCTCCTCTAACAATGGCAACAAGTTGAAGAGTACTAACTCTTTGCCTTCCAACTCCAACTCCACAGGCCAAAAGTCCTCTAATTTGAACTCTATGGGATCTTCTTCCTCTTTCTCCAACAACTCTTCCTCTTCCAACCCCAAGCCCTATGCTGGCAAGCTAGGCAAGGATGGCTGTCTTACTCAAGAAGAAAAGGATTGCTGTCAGAAGAATAACCTCTGCATGTTCTGTGGAGGTAAGCACAAAACTGAAGACTGCAACAAACGCAAAGTCATGGCCTCTGCTCATGGTCATGCTGCTGCCATTTATTCCACTCCCAAGTCCACCACCTCTATTGAACCAGTTCCTTCAGAATTGAAAACTAGAGAGTAATCCTGTATCCTCTGCACTAGGGCAGGATTGTGTTGACTGTCATTGTGCAGTGGAGATCATAACCCTCAATGCTGCTGCTCTTTCTAATCATTCTCTGACTGTCTCCCTCTCCTCTGAAATCAGCTCTGGATCAGAGTCTGACAGTTCACTTATTTCTATTATTCTTCATTTTCTTGCTCTTGTTGATTCTGGCTCTAGCCACTGCTTTGTTGATTTGAAGTACATTAAGGATCACAATCTCCCTATAAGATCCATTCCTCCTGTCCAACTTCAGCTTCTTGATGGCTCTGTCAGATCTCACATTTCCCAATCTATTTGCCTTCCAATCTGTTTCCCTTTCAGAGACATTCTCCCTATTGACTTCTATGTCACTCATCTAGATTCATCTTGTAATGTTATTCTGGGATACAACTGGCTCTCCTGCTACAATTCATTGATTGACTGGGTAAAGCACAGTATCACTTTCTGTTCACCACTATCAGTTGTTTTTTCTCCAAGTGCTTCCACAGCTGCTGACACACATGTGCCAGTCTGCTTGGACTCTTCCAGTCCAATCCTCATCTTCCACTCCAAAATTGAGATCCCAACAGGCTCCACCACCTTATGAGCCTATCTATTCCTATCCTACCATTCCTTCCTTTGGTGCTTCAGCTGCCCCCAAGATATCTATTATTTTGGCTGCCACTTTTGTCTGAGCTTGTGCAGAAGAAGGGGCTCAGCAGTTCACATTGCAGCCTTCTATGCTTAGTGTTAGTGGCAAGGCTACTTTTATGGCTCCCGCTGATTTATCTGATGTCCCACCAGAGTATCATGAATTTGTTGATGTATTCAGTGATTCCCTTTCCAAAAAACTCCCTGAGCATTGCCCTTACAACCTCAAGATCAATATTGAGGAGGGTTCCACTCCTCTGCTCAGTCCCATTTATTTCCTTTCTGAATCCAAACTAAAAGCCTTACGTGAGTTTATCGACGATAACATCCATAATGGTTTTATCACTCATTCTTATTCTCCACACAGTGATGAGCCTAAACTTCTGTGGTAATGGCAAAAACCAAAACTCTAGAGGAGTTCACAGCAAATGGTGTATAGCAGCAATAAAGGCTTTGTTGTTGTGCAAGTGTTTCAGTGCATCTCCATGTGATGAATTTCTCAAGAATGCAAGTATACACTGTGACTTTTCAGTCAGAGAAGTAGTACACTTAACAAACAAGTACTAGAAAGTGTTGGCTATAAGCTGGGAAGGGTCTCGATGTACAAGAAGGAATGGAATCCAGTATAACTGGGAATACCAGCAAACCATGAGCGAAGTGGTGGCAATTGACTAGTAAATGCCATGAGCAATGTTAGCAGAATTAGAGAAAATACCATCAAAAGAGAATACTGTGTGCAAGATAACAAATACTGTGATGGCAAGAGACAAAGACTGTAGTCAAGAAACTGGCAGTAAAATGAAGAGAGACTGGCTGGCAGAAATATGAAGAAGGAACTAGCAGTGGCAAATGATGAAGGGAATTGAGCAATAATGAAAACTAAAACTGGACTGAGGTTAACTGCAGTAAAACAAAACTGATACTGATCCTGAGTCTCCATGGAGACTATCCTATTCTGAAACTGACAGCAAGATACTAAATGCCATGACTGATGATCCTATGTTGTTGACCAAAATTCTGTGACAGACACTGCTGGCAGCAATAACAATCCTAATCTGGGTCCACACAAGGATGTAACTGTACTGAGCTGAGCTTGGGTAAAATAATGGCAATATAGAAAGTGAAAGCTGGTTGAATGATGCTGGCTGGTGAAAGTGAAATGATGCCTGTGGAATAAAAGATAAAAGTGAGTTGTGGACATGAAATTCCATGTATTGGCACAATATGGGTGTACACCAATACCATTAGAAGAAAAGCCATGACAGAGAGTATAACTCAGAGTGACTATGTTGTTATTGTCTGTCTCCTAGTGGGTATAAGAGATAGTGGTCATAGCAACTTAGTTTCTTGTTTTGTTCCCCAAAACTGCTATTTTCTGTGGTGTATACTAGCTTTTATACTATAAGTCCAGAATAAATTTAGAATACTTGAAGCAAGTCCTTAGTAAGTCTGTAGTATATAGATTGGTAAGAAATGATACAAAACACATGTTCTCAAGGTTCTAAAGTAACAGCACCCATATGGATTTACCACATATAGATGAAGTGATTAGTAAGAATGCCACTGATCTCTGAAGTTTTGAGCTGCTGTGTTGCTGCAGCAAAGTACATTGAAGCAATTGTACTGAAGTAGATGCTTGTGGCAATCTCTTGGCAGTATAACAGCCTTAGTAAAGACTGTGGAAAGATCACAGCATTAGAGCTAATATCCTGGAATTGCTATTTGAGCTGTAGAATTGTGGCTGTGCTGCAGAATTGCAGCTGTGCTAGGCAATCAGATGGGATTCTGAATCTGTGAGATTGACAATCAGGTGCCTGGCAGAATTAATGAAAGGGGTGCATAATTGATGTGGGGTACAAGTGAGGAAGGATAATTGATGGCATTAAGCAATATTGCCAGGATTGAAAGAGTATATACAATAGTAGTAAGATTCGAGTCAGAGTTTCGAGTCAAGATTCAACTCAGATCTGTAATCTGATTCGATTACTGTCAATCTGATTGAAGGCCTCCACTGACTTTCCCGCCTCCTGCCCTTGTTCAGTGTCACCATTGAGTCGTGCCACCCCGCCATTTGATATCTAGACCACATTGTTCTTTTGTTTAGCATGCCACCCTCAATTCTAGAATTGAATATCATGTTTTTCTTTTCTTTGCCCTCATTCCACCTTTTGCTACTGCCAGGATGACTAGCAAGGTGCCATCTAGCACTGAGCAGCTGCGTTCTCTACTTCGTATCATTCCACATTATGCCCTGGAGGAGTATCGTCATTTCATAAGAGAACATGTCCGTGATTTCTTGAGCCTATCATTAATTTCTCTCGTTCTTTACAGGCTCTGGAACCAGCACTGGTAGCACTTCTCCCGGATATCTACAGCATCAACAATGCGATAAACTGGGCTTCTCTTCAAGACCTAGCAACATGGTATGGTCACTTTGCACAACGACAAGCAGTCCAGAAACTCTCGCAAGCAGAAGCAGAAGTCACATTGAGCTTGCCTGCTTCCATCAGCCAAAGTATAAGAATTAACGCATCAAGCCAGCCGAATCAAGTCAGTTCTGGTCATATACAAGCTCAGACTAGTACTTCTGTGACTCCCAGGTATGCATTTATACTAATCATCTAGATTTTCAATATTGACATGTCGCTCAAACTCTAGCTCTATTAAACGGGAACACCTTGCAGATTCTGACTGGTCTCTACCTCCAATCACCCCGCACACCCTCACAATGAAGAGAAAATGAACCTTTGCTCTATCTTCTCCTGTACTGGCTGGTTTATCTCCAAGTTTCTCTGGTCCTGTTTCGAGCCTGCTTACTGCCACATGCCTTGACTCTCATGAAGTCATTGATATTTCTGATGATGATCAGCTGACAAACACTCCCAGCAAGGCATGCAGTCAACGACCACACAAGAAAGCACGAAATAATGACAAACCGATCAATGATAGTGTTTCAAAGAGCGACACAGCATCACAGGGTCAGAAGATATCGATAACAAGAGAGAAGTCATCAGCTGTCGATAAAATCATCGATATTGACTCTGTTCCTCCGACGTTTGATGTTCCCAGTCATGGAACATGTGCCTATCATATCAATCTCCAGAATTTCGAAGGACAATGGCCTTTGGATGTGAATGGAAAGCCCAAGTCCATGGCTGCATTTATCAAGGGAGAAGTATGTACTGGTCTTCATCTTTCTTTTTGTGAATATAACTCCTTGTTGCTTAGGATCAAGATAGCTGGGGCAGAGGGTCAGCCGGTTCTCTCAAGGATGGCCCCAAAGTTGTTTCACTGGGCGGTGTGCCTTGCTCTGTATTGTGGCAGAACTGTCAAGGTTACTGATCATGCAAGCGCATATCCAGAGATTTGATTGAGGGTATTGAACACTATGATGCCCAGTCCTCCCAGGAGTTTGCACAACAGTGGTTTGATGCAGAATGAAATTTGAATGAAGCTCAAGGTGACAATCCGCTGGTTCTTGCTGCTGCATACATTAGAACATTTCTTCGCTATAATGGCCCGTATTAATAATTTGATGGGATAGATTGTACCTTGAAGTACATCTCAGTGAATGCTATTACCGAGATGATTCAGGAAAACAGTGTAGTGGTGTTCCAGTCTTGCACTCGCTCAAGCAGGTATAATTTTTTTTAATCCAGATTTATTTCACCAGAAACTTATGCTTTCTTAGGCTAATTTCGATGGAAAGGAGTACTTTATTGGATGCAGCAGCTGGAAGTATCTTGCTGATGGCACTCACCCACCGACTCATGCTCATTGATTGCAAAGTATTCCTCCAGCTGTCCAAGAGACCCTCATTGTAGAGCTGTTTAGCAATAAGGGTAGATTCACTCAGGCAACACTGGACAAGTATGAGAATTTCATACAGTCTGAAAGCTGTGCATATACGCTTCTTCCCCGCAATCACAGAAGAGATGATCAGAAATGCCGTGCATTTGCTATTTCCATGATGATTGTCTCACTGCTCATCCATCAACTGTAGCTTATTTCCATTTGAAGGATGGACAGCCATATCAGGCACTGCTGATTCAGCACCAATGCCACTCACAGATTATCATCTATTCGCCTCTCGATTGCAATGACCATCGAGCAATCGTTGTAGTCAAGAATGCTCACTGTCATTCTCCCCCACCAAGACAGAAGGTTTCGATGAAAGGAAAGGCTTTGTATATTGAGGCAGCTAAAGAGCAAGGACTTGTGAGACTTACAGTTGCTAAATTGGATTCTGGTAATGTTACCTCTTGAAATATACACATATGAATTATTCCAACGTTTAAGTTGTTCCGAAGGACCATCCATTTGACAGTGCTTTGGTGGTGACCCTGCTGAAGTTGATCCAGCACTTGGCAACTCACGGCACAGGTGTACTATGCTTGCCAAACTTAAAAAAGTGGAACATCCTCATGGAACTGATATTAACGGTAGGTCTACATTTTTAATGTTAGATCCCTCATACTCAAGAAGTTTGGGTAGGAGTATTTGACATGAAATTGCAAGAGGAGAGTACAGTGGAACCTGGTGAATGATATATCCATGAGATATCTACTTCTGCTGACAAGCGGGGCAGTATTATTGTCACGATGTTGCCAGATCTTGCTGAGCTTATCCACAGTGCCTTGACAACACTCCATGACAATACGTACAAACGTGTGAAAGGCTCAGCATGGAAGGAGTGGGAGGTGGTTGTTTGGGATTCTCGTCGTAATATGCATATGTCAATCCATCCTACAGGGAGTATCTTATACTGATACTTCTCTTAAATTCTAGGTGTAACCGTGGCTCGAATTTATATGACTCGGGAAACATGTGAAGCCTTTTCTGCTGTCTGGACATATTTCTTTGACGTTGTCAAATGGGTTACAGGATGTCCAGTTCTTGTGAAATTTCTTCACAGGCAGGGACTATCAACAATCCTGGTTGATGGAAGCCAACCCCAAATTGAAGGGTGCGGTGATGCATTGATGACCATACATAATCATCTTCCTGCAAAAAAGCAAATTGCTGGTGTGAATTCCCTAAATATTGTGGAGTACATCATGCAATGCTGCCTTGTGCATTTGAATCGGTATGTGATATACTTTGCAAAGCATGGACAATGATGACAAGGACTTCCTCTTTCATATCTAGAGACTTTGATAAACTTGTACCTTATATCACAGCCGAAGAGAATAATTATATTCGTTCTGTTTGCTATCTCAAGACTAACGAAGAGATCGAGACACTTTGGCACTGGTGCGAGCATAGCAGTAATCAAAAGATTCTCAGTGAGCTACTTTATCTGTCTTTCTATATTTTTTCCCCTTCTGATATGCATGGGGTTCCCTTGCAGACTGGTACAATGATAAAAAAGGTAAACCATGGTTTATTGCACTCATTAATGAGCACCACAGCCATATTCTGATTGATGACTGGTATAAAAGTCCTGGAAATACAAATCTGAATGAGAGCGCACACCCATTTATGAACATTCACACTGGAATAGGGCTATCTCTCATAGAAGCAATTAAAACGTACGTGATTCTTCACTATGGCCAACCAGCACTGTGATAACATGCTTACAGCATGAAAACACTGGACACAATGATGCAGAACTGAAAAAACCTCATCGATGACAATAGGCAACTTACCAACCATCGCAATACCATCTCGCACCACTTCCATATTAATGGCAACCGATCTAGAAACAAGGCACAGAAAGCGGCACAATGCAAGACTAACATTGATGAGCTGCTTCACCTTGATGAAAAAATCACACAGGCAACGATCTACCACAAGGAACTGGTCACCCAGAAGCATGAACTTGAAGCTAAATGCAAGGCAATGGTGCTACTACGTGGAGCTCACTGCAACATCGATGACCAAATCCGATCAGTGGATTCTGACCACAAAGAAGCATACACGGTTCTGCAAGACTTGCGTGCTCAGAAATATGACCTAGAGATGTCCTCTCCTACTCCGACAAAAGGACTGAGGAAGCAACTTCGAAATGGACGTGCCATCAAGGGAAAGTCTACACTTTCAGATGCAGCATACGAAGACCTCAACCTCAAATCAGAGAATAATGAAGCAGAACCTGTGTTGGAGGATGACATACCCTGTGCAAATGTTATCGATGTGACTGGGCCCTCCCTGACAGCCACGACGACTCAAGTTAACACAAGTCTGGAGTTCAAAGCTGATGCTGACACCCAGACTACTTGTGAGGACAACCCAAGTCCTTTCTTGTGGTTACACCCAAATGCAGCCTCAGGAGAAGTTTTATATGATCCTCAGGTGGCTATCGACATTGGAGAAGCTGATGCCTTGGATATGTGGATGGTATGGAATGGAGGGGCTTTTGTAGCATAGACACATCACATAAAACAATGTTGAGGAATTTATTGAAAATTGGTTGATGTCTTTGCACACTACTAAACTAAGTAGGTGAGTGGCGGAGTGCAGGGGCAGGATATGGGCTAACCACAGTCCAATTGAACGACTCGGACAAGGTCGAGTCATACTTGGACTTTGCTGGAGTCTGACTCAGATAGCTCAGCCCAAGTTGAATCTGACCAGTTTGGTCAACACTCAGATTGAAATAGTATGTTGGTGTGGTGGCTGGGGAATTAGCTATCTGGTAAAATCTGTGAATTCTGAGTGTATAGAGCCTGGAGGCTCATCACCAATCCATTGGACTTACCTCTTACCTCTCATCTCTTATCTCTTACCTCATCTCTGTCACTCCACAGACTTCCATCTGTATTCATCTTAGGGCTTCAGCCCAGGAGTGATGTTGCTAATAGCTTTACCTATGCCCAATGCATCCCACAGCTTTCCACTACATGCAATCTCTGGCACATTCCTATTGGCACAATCCTAACAGGTGGTGTTGGTAAAGTCATCCACTTCTTCTGTTGCTTCCTTTAATCCACATTTAATCTAGTGTTCAAAATTATAGCTACACATCTACTCTTTATAGATAACACTGCTGCCAATTCTGCTAATCTGATACTTTATGCATCATTCAGTCTGGCTACAACATTGTGGTGCACTGTGCTCATCATCTACCATATTCTAAGTGTAGAACAAGCAAACAATGGAATCAGGGGTACACTCAGAACTTACCAACATGTCATTAAAGTCCTGGTGGAATCTTCTGCTCTCTATTCTGTATGTTTGATCATCTATGTAGTGTGCTATGCTACCAATAGCTGGGAAGAAACCTACCTTGATATTATAGCAACAACTGCAATGGTATCAAAATATTTACTTTTTCTTCAATATTTTTATTTGAATAACACTCTATGTCAGGGCATTGCACCAACACTCCTCATTGGACATGTTGCTGCAAGCCATGCTCATTCTAATGATTCATGGGATGAAAGCATCATGTCTTCACTCCACTTTAGGCAAGGTCAGAGTTAGACAAGTACCTAAGAGAATTTCATGATCAGTATCAATCTTGAAGCTCAGACAGATCAAGCAGATGAGCCTGAGCATGCTCAGTAGAGCTCTCAGAGGGTGAATAGTAATGATGTAGAGGCTCAGTTAAAGGAAATTGAGATTACTTAGTCAGGTTACTTCCTTCTTTCAACAGTGCCATAGCAGTCATCAGTGACCATCTGAGCAAAGTCCTGATCTACTGTCATCCACTTGTCTCTCACACTCTCTTGGTTTTTATCCCTAACATAACCTACATTTTATATCCACTATACATTCCTTGTTAGCCAAGATCTCTTCTCCATGTCATTCACATTTCTTATCCACCACAGTAGAAGTTTCTTTAGATACACATTGTTTCTTTGTTCTTTTTCTACCATTGGTTATTGATTGTTTGAAGTCTCTTGCAAAAGCTTGTCTGACTCCTTGTCTCCTTAGGATGTATGAAATTTATCATCCTAATATTAGCAGATAATTAGTACCTTATACATCTAATATATACAATACAGTGGACATATACCCACTACATTCCCAGCATCTCAATATTACTACCAATACATGCATCAAATACACAGCTCAGTTATTTACTCTCTTTAGTCATCACTGTATTCAATGACAACTCTCTCTCCAAAAGTGCCCTCCTCAGCTCATTCTCCCTCTGTATCATCATCCCATCAGAATAGTCCTTCTCTGGCCTGATTCTTGATGGATGCTGATTCCATATCTTCTTCAACTCATTTACTGACACCCAGAATTGGGCTATAATATCTAGCATCCTGCAAACAGTAAGTCCAGGGTGCTGAGAGAGATGTTGCAATGCAGAGTTGAGGTATATTGTGAGGATGAGTGAAATACTCAGTGGTAAACCTATCTTTCAGTCTACTACCTTAGTGATGGTTGAGTATGAAGGAATTATTATTCTACTGGGCCAAAACTCTGGCCTTATATACTACACAATATATCTAGAATGTTCTACTATTTTACTTATTGTTGGGATTTTGCTGGAAAGTTCTAGAAGGAGCAATCTGGCATCATGCTGAGAGTTGCTGAGTAAGCACAAGACTAGTAAAAAGTTGTAGTATATTCTAGATTACAGTGCGAAGTAGTATAAATACAGGCTCTGTAGGAGCCATAGAATAATAAGTTCATATCAACTGGCCTTACCAGCCAGGAGTCTACCCTGTGCAACACCGAGGATTCCAACACTTATGTTTATATCTACTCAAGGATTCCAGTAAGTAAGAGTATGAGAGGAGAAACATTTAGCAAGAGCAATGATGCTCAAATATTCCGAATGTTGCCAGATTGCTGACACTGCATGGTAGCTTTAATATTTAATGTTAAAATATTGAAATCAAAAGATATTTATTTTTAGCAACATCAGAACCTAAAATATTTAAGAAATAGTCAAAATATATTTTCAATATTTATGATTTCTTTGAGTTTTGAGGCAATTTTTCTAAATATAAAAACTATATTCAAAGTTTTCTTACTGTATTTTAGACTTAAATATCATTAATATAAATATCTTTCAAATTCAATCTTCCAGACTCAATTATTAAGACCATCATGCAGTGTGAAACATGGTGAAGAGGCTGGCTGTGGGCATCTGTGGAATAGTGAGTAGGCTAAAAGGTGAACCTCAAAAACCCACACACACACTCACACACACTCACACAAACTACACAAAAATACAATCACCCTTATAAGTTCTAGGAGGAGCAATTGTGATCCACTAGTACAACAAACAAGATCAAACTTGTGATGTGACTCGCACTTTGATCAAGCGTACAATGAGCAGGCTCAAGTAGTCTGATAGCGAATGACTTAGACAGCCTAGCCGAGGGCGATAGAGTCGATAACTAGGTATATAAACCTTAGCCAAAGCTGGGGCTTAAGGCCACAGCTTGGCTTGTTTAAATACAGGAGTGTAGTTCTAAAAATGGTACTAATGAGTCCACATATCGTATGATGAGCTGGCAGCATAGTCCGAATAGAAGCATAGAGGCGACGTCCAGGCATCATAGTACTAAGCATGTATGAGTCAATAGGATATGAAGTAAGGAAAGAAGTAGGAATTAAAGGGAAATCCATAACATTACCCCCTCCTTAAGACTCAGTCGTCCTGACTGAGTCCGCGTCCCCATCCTCATCGCTGCTGTCCCCGTCTGCCTCTTCCGTGGTATAGTTGTATTCTATATCTGAGTCCTCCGTGTATTCGTTCTCAAGGTTATTGATGGTCTCCCCTATCCTTGCTTTGTAGTCAAGTACGAGTTTCTCAGCATTGGTGAGGTTGGCTCTGGTGACCCAAGAGTTTTCTTCTGGGCCATATCTCTTTCATTTGACTAGGAAATCGGTGACCTCCTTCTGACGTCTCCCCCTACCAGTCCAGCAGTTTCGGTGGTTGAGTAATTCTTCGATCTCGTATTCTTCCTCTGCGTCGATGAGTTCTGGAGGTGGAGGTGGAGGACATTGCTGGTTGGGAAATTTGGGCTCATGGAAGGGAGAGAGTAAGGATTCGTTAAATCAGTTGTAAACCTGCCAGGTTGGTGGTAGTGCGAGTTCATAGGCACTGGCTCCCTTCTTGGCGGTGATTTCAAACGGCCCTACCTGTTTGTTGTCGAGTTTCGTTTTGGGTCGGGGTAGGTGTAGGTTCCTCGTGTTGAGCCATACCTTTTGGCCTATCTGGTACTCCTGACTGGGCCCTCGGTGTCGGTCATAGCTTCGTTTCATGACCATGACCACCTCTCGAAGGGCATTCCTTGTGTCGTCATGGATTTTGGCAATATGGTCTATGAAATCTTGGGCGGCAGGTACGTTGCTCCTACTCGAGCGGGTATTAGGAAATAAGTCTCCGTCCCTTCCGAACGTGGCTTTGAAGGGGGAAAGTCTGGTGGCCAAATGCTGCCAGTTGTTGTGGGTGAAAGCGGTGAGGGGTAGCCACTCACTCCAGTCGTCCTGTCGGTACGAGATGAAAATCCTCAGGTACTTTTCGACCTCTTGATTGGCCCTCTCCATCTGACCATCCATCTGTGGGTGGTACGCCGTTGATGGGTTGCCTTGGATGCCTAGTAGTCGGTACAGTTCCTTGGTGAATTTTGCAATGAACTGTGGCCCCTGGTCCGAGATGATCTTGGCAGGTATATGCCCATACTTGCACACTACTTTGTCTCTCAGAATCTTTGCCCACCCCTTTGCTGACAATTCCTTGGAACAGGGGATGGGGATGAGTGTTTTGGAGCATCGGTCGATGATGTTGAGGATCACGTTGTGACCGTTCAATTCTGGTAGGTCGGTGATTAGGTCCATGGTGATAATGTCCCATGGTTTGTCCAGGATTTCATTAGGGTACAGTGGTGCACTCTTTGCATGGGTGGAGGTCTTGGTGTGTTGGCAGACTTCGCATCCCTGTACATACGCTTCCATGTCCTTCCGCATTTTCAGCCACCAGTAGTTGTGCAGCACTAACTCTTTTGTCTTTTCTATCCCTGGATGTCCTGGGAGTATGTGATCGTGATGTCAGGCTATCACTTCTCCATGTAACATGGGGTCACGAGGAATGTAGATACAATTGTTGTGGATTAGCAGTCCCTCTTCCCTCATAATTCCCTCATCATGGTTGAGGGATGTGGCTATGCCTTGGTCCCACATATGTGGGTCCACCGTCGCTCTGCGAATTCGCATTTGGATTTCCTCTTCCAATGGCATTTCCAATGCTCGGAAATGTTCCGGGGTGAGGACGACTATATTTTGGTTGTTGTCCTTCTCTTGCTTGTGGTCAGCTCGGTGACTGAGGAGGTCGGCCTTCTTGTTGGACATTCCTGGTTTGTGATGTAGGCTGAAGTGGTACTCGGCTAGCTCAGTGACCCACCTGGCCTGTCAGCAGTTTAGTTTCTGGGGTTTCTGGAAGTATTGCAAGTTCTGGTGATTGCTCCAGATCTTGAAGTCCCGCTGGGCTCCCAACAGGTAGTGCCGCCACTCGGACAGGGCTAGCATTATGGCCAGTAGTTCTTTGTCGTATATCTCATAGTTATGCTCTGTGGTCATGAGTGCCTTAGAGAGGAATGCCAGTGGTCTCCAGCGCCCCCTCTCGTCTTCCTGAGATAATACTGCTCCAATGGCCCCGTCGCTGGAATCTGCCTCAAGTCGGAAAGATTTGGTGATGTCAGCCATCCCCAATACTACTCCCCTCATGAAGCATTGCTTGATCTCGAGGAATGCTTCATGCTGCGCCTTTCCCCATTCCCATGGTACTTTGCCCGTTAGACATGTGAGTGGTCACACTTTATCGCTGTAGTGCTTGATGAAGCACCAGTAGAAATTGGTGAACCCAAGGAATGACTGTAGTTCCTGCTTCTTGGTAGGCTCCGGCCACTCCATGATACCTGCGATCTTGACGGGATCCATGCATACACTCCCTTTGCTAATGATCATGCCTAGGTACTCCACTTCGAGTGCCTTGAATTCGCACTTTGATGCTTTCAGGAATAGTCTGTGCTCACGTAAGAGCTGCAGTACTCATCTGGTTACCTGGCGGTGTTCGGTGAGGGTCTTGGTGAAGATGAGGATATCATCAAGGTATACTGTAACCTTTCTTTCAGTGATCAATTCCTTGAATATGTCATTCATCATCCATTGGAACGTGGCTGAGGAGTTGGTAAGTCCGAAGAACATGACCAGGGATTCGAACAGCCCCTGATTGGTGCAGAATGTGGCTTTCCACTCGTCTCCTTCCTGGATCCTAACGTTGTTGTATCCCCATCGTACATCCAGCTTGGTGAAGTATTGGGCTCCCTGAAGTTGGTCCATCAGCTCCTCTATGAGTGGTAAGGGGTACTGGTTCTTGATCATCATTTTGTTGAGCTTTCGGTAGTCCTGAACGGGCCTTAACTTTCCATCTTTCTTCTTGACGAAGAAGAACAGCGAAGCCATTGGGGATTTAGATGGGCGGATCCTTCCACTGTCCAGGTTTTCGGCAAGAAATGCGTCGAGCTCCTTCTGCTCTTGCGGGTTGAGCAGGTATACCTTGCAGTCTAGGCTGGCCTTCGCATTGGGAATCAATTCGATCGCATGATCCCAGGGTTTGTGTGGGGGTAGGTCATTGAAGTTTTCTTTTGTGAAGACATCATAGTAATCTTGGTAGTCTACCAGTACGATTTCTTCGAACGTGCGATCCGGCTTTTCTCGGTTGGCTTGAGTGGCCAGATCGTTAGATTGTGTCCCTGTGGCCCAGAGATGTACCTCGCGCTCCATGTCAACCATCAGGATTCGGTCACCTTCCTTGTACTCTGTCCAACATAGGGAGTCTTCATCTGGTAGATGGAATGGTATCGGTCTACAGTCACACCATGCTAAGGTTACTGCCCTGGTGGTCCAGTCGATTATCGGGTTATGCCGTTGTAGCCAGTCATACCCTAGGAATAGGGGTGTGGTTCCCAGGTCTACTATGGCTAATTAGATGCATTCCTCATGGTCCCTGATTACTAGTCGAACTTCTGCATACTCCATGATATCCCTGCCTTTGTTGCGAGTGCCATCTGCGTTGTACACCGGGGTGGGACACGCAGTCAGTCATAATTGAAGGTCGTGGTTCTGGGCCCATGTTTGGTCTATGGTGCTCCTGGTGCACCCACTATCCACCAGGGCCGTTACTTGATAGGGGGTTCATGTGTCCAATGTCTCTAACCATAGTTTGATGGTTACATGGCGCCCTTTGCCTCTGCATATGTACTGTGGAGGGGCCCATAGCTCCTCTAGTTCGTCTAGCCCCTGGGTTGCTCAGTCCTGGCTCTCCCCTTCTTCCTCCATGAGACGCCAAATGGTCTCTGCCACCACTTCCTTGGCTTTCGATGGGTGTACCCATCGTTTCAGTATCTCCTTCTGTTCCCCTAGGGTTCATGCATTCTTCAACCCCCTACGTACCCACTCTGGCCTGTCCTGATGTGGGTGGTAGGCTTGTGGACACTTGGTTCCCATGCGCCGAGGGTACTCCATGATTTTGGCTCAGGTCTTCTCCTCAGCATATGCTTCCTTTGGATGCAGGTAGCTGTAGTTGTCGTCCTCATTGGGTATTTCTTCAATGGTGACTGGTCAGTGGGGCAATGCTTGCGATGGCATTTGGTCATCAGGCCATGATGGACCCTGGGGCAGGATTTGGTCACTCTTCATGGTTTTGCAAGGGTCGACCCTGGTTGAGGCAGCCATGCATTGTGAATGCTGTTTTGCTGCCGCACATGCATCCCATGCTACTCCAGTCTGTTCATCAATTGGCTTACCGGGTTTCCCGCTGGCTTGGGTTTGGGGTTCAGTGCTGATACAGGTGGTGGTAATCCCCTGTACACCTGGTTTCAGCAAGGCTGGGGGTCTCTCTTCTGCTTTAGAACAGTTCGGCACTGGGTCCGCTGGGCCTCGAGTACTGCCGTTGGCCTCCTCCCTTGCCTCACCTGGGCTCCAGGTCCCGTAGATTCCAGGAGTCACCTTGTGCCGATATGGCCTCAGCCTGTCTGTCAGACCCAAGGGTCCTAGGGGTTCATTGTCCAAAGGACGGCAGCAATCCCCTTCTATGCCATTCTTGCTGTGTGATTCTGACTTAGTTTCTGTAGTATTTAATGGCAATGGGGGTATATTCGAATGCACTGAAGTACACACATAGCTGATAGAAACTGAAGTCCTTGCTGACGTGACTGAATCACTTACTTCCTCGTCAGCTCGTCTTTTACCTCCTCAACCTGCATGGAATCGGTCAAGTCTTCTGGTCGGTTGGGGTCATCTAGCATCGCGTGAATCATTGATTTGGATAGTTTGTACTGCCCGGCCTTAGGGTTAGGTTTCGGCTTGATCTTCCATTTGGATGGGTCGGGATCGCACTTATTGTCCCTCACCATGTGGCCTGGGCCACCATACTGAAAGCATAGTCCATCCTTCTTCAGGTGGTCCACCTCCATTGGGAGTCCCTGGCCTCTGTATGTGGATCTGGTGGCATCCTTCCTATGGTCGATTGTGCCCGGATTACTAGCCTTTGGGGTTGCCACCTTTGGGGTTGGCCATTTATCTCCTTCTTCGGCTTGGTGGACGTGGTAGTTTTCATCGATCCGCTTTACCCTTCACTTCCATTCTTCATAGTTATGGGGCCGATTGTTATCCCCATGCATGATGATGTCCTTCATCCAAGTATGGATGGCCTTCTTTACTGTATCCGTCATTTCTTCCTCATTCCCAAACTTTTCAGCTTCAATGATGAGCATCTCAAAGTCTTGGAAGAATTCAATGGCGTTTTTGTAGTTCGATTGTCATAATGCCTTCCATTTGACTTTCTTTAGCTCAATTTCAGCCACCTCTCTGAACCTTTCTCGTAGCTCTGCGTCGAAGTTGGGCCAGGTGGGGTACCGGGTGTGGCGATGTACAGAGTCGTACAGGTGCTCTCTTTTCTGTATCCACCACTCTAACGTCTTCCCTTCCATCAGTGAGGTAGCGAACACTATTCTGGATGGTGCATACCCCCTGGTGCTCATTGGAAATTTTCTGGGAAATATATTGAAGTAGTCTTTGCACCTGGATAAGAACCTTTTCACGTCACTAGAAGCTCCAGTAAATGAGGCTGGGGTCTTCATCATTTTGGGCCTAACGGCTCCCCATGGAAGTTCGCCTGATTCTAATTCCCATGGTTCCAGGTTATCCGGTGGGGGTCCTGGCAGTTCAGGGGGTAGTTCCAGGTCTACTAACTCCGGTAGCGACCATAGTTCGTAGTCGTGATGCAGGTTGTATGGTGGCATGGGAGGTGACAGGGGAGGCAGTGGAGCTCGCTTCGGACAAGTTGCCTTTGTGTGCTGGGATGGCTGCTCGACGGGGTTTTCCGCTTCCTGTTCTTCTTCGTCTGCCAGCATTCTCCCCAATAGTCTGCTTCTCAGAGGTAGAGTGGGTTCAGGTTCCCGAGGAATCACTGCCCAATGGTACGGTGGGTAGCTTCTTTGTTCGAACGGTCATAATACATCCGCCTTGTCATTATGTAACTGGTTCCATAGCTTCGCAGCATGGTAGTGTACCTCATCCTCGTATATTGCATTCCTAACCATATTCGGTAGCTGTGGTTGGTACATTAATTTAGTGGCTTCTGTGATGATCCATGACCCCTCATTGGCCAGGGATCCCTTCTGCCATTCCAGTAGCTCTTCCCAATCCATCTCAATCACTGCCTTCTTCCTTGCAGGGTTCGGGGGTTGATCGGGGATAGGGCGTGGACTCCTCTGTGTCTGGCTCTGCGATCCAGTAGCGGTAGTCGGTGAGGGCAGCATGCTCCCATGGGTACCAGCAGTTCCAGATCCTGGTCTGAGTATCTCTAGGCCAGAAATAGAGGGGCTGGTCCTTGGGTCATGGTAGTAGGGGGAGTTCTTGTCTCTCTGGTACGTGGGCGCCTCCCCTTCATGCAAGGGCCCAATTTCAGTTCTGTATTCCCTGGGTGAAGTCCTGGAACCTTCTATAGAGTACGTCCCACTCCGAATGGACTGGGTTGTCGAAGAAGAAGTTGGCCAATTCTGGCTCAGCTCCATACTCTCTGAGGGTCCACTTGACGTATGATACAAGGGGCTCAGGGGTCTCCCAGTCCCTTCTTCGGTCTTCAGCAATGGCTTGAAGCCAGTGGCATATATCTCCATGGCACTCTCCATAGGGGCTGAGGTGGTGGTCAGCAAGCTCATCTCGGACTGCGTACAGGTTGTGTTCTTTGTTGTCAGTGACCCAGGAGTTGTAGGGGTCTGAGATGTCAGATCCTGTACTTCTCCTGGTCACAGCGTTGCTTCTCCCAGTGGTGATGCTGAGGTCTGGATAGCCAGGGATAGTGGGTGAGTCTGGGTACTGGAGATCGAACTCTGGTCTCTCCCCATCCTCGAGTGGGGGGAGCTGGTTGGCTTGGTGCCATGTGTCCATGAGCGCCCAGTCATGCTGGTAGGTGTCAAACTCTTCTGGCTCAGGGATCTCGTCGGGGTCAGGGGCGCAGGGGGAGAATCTGTGGTAGGCCATAATAGCTTCTTCCCTGCCGCTTGTCCTAAGGTAGAGGCAGGTGGAATGGGGACGAGTTCCTGGGCCAATGATGACTCCTCCTGTGCTGGGGTCAATCCTTGTTTCAGCAATCCCGTATTCTTCATCCAAGGGGTCCGCAGATGCCTGAAGAACCCTGTCTGTGAGGACTCACTGCTCCCTTCTGTCGGCGTCGTCTTGCTCTTCGACTCCACCAACCCAAACCTCTCCTTCCAGGTCTTCTTCGTCTCACTGGACTGGGATGTCGGTGTGGACATCCTCGTCCCTTGATGCTGCAGCGCTGTGCTGGAATCGGAAGGTGCTGGCGTTTCGATAGTGGAATGGGGTGTGTCTAGGTTGTCCGTTGAGCCTGTAGTATACTCTCCCGGGAGCAGGGGTCTGCGGGACTCTGGCATGGTGTCATCACTTGTACCAGAGGTATCCATATAGGAAGCAGAATACCAGTATGATGATAGCGGTTAGGAGACTGGCGAAGACGTTAAAGGTGTTAGACACTGTACTGCTCATAGGTGAAGTTCACTGTCATGGTTGACAATGAAGGTCCTTGAGAGAAGCTTTGGCTAAATGTGATCCACTAGTACGACAAACAAGGTCAAACTTGTGATGTGACTTGCACTTTGGTCAAGCGTACAATGAGCAGGCTCAAGTAGTCTGATAGCGAATGACTTAGACAGCCTAGCCGAGGGCGATAGAGTCGATAACTAGGTATATAAACCTTAGCCAAAGCTGGGGCTTAAGGCCACAGCTTGGCTTGTTTAAATACAGGAGTGTAGTTCTAAAAATGGTACTAATGAGTCCACATATCGTATGATGAGCTGGCAGCATAGTCCGAATAGAAGTATAGAGGCGATGTCCAGGCATCATAGTACTAAGCATGTATGAGTCAATAGGATATGAAGTAAGGAAAGAAGTAGGAATTAAAGGGAAATCCATAATAGCAATTATTTCTAATGTGATCCAACTATACTTCAGTATCTCAAAGAGTTTCTCTTATTCTCAATGCTTCTAGTGAAGCTAAGCTTTCTCAAATGAATTCCTAAGTCTAGGAACTTTTACAGGAAGGTTGTTCACTGGCATGACACAACCTTCAAGATAGATTCAAGTTAAAATACACAAGGGACACTGATCCTGACAGAAACAGAGACAATACACATTGAAACAATAGTGAGCTCACTAAAAGAATACCACAGGCAAGCACTTCAGACTTAGTCCACTCACTACACAACTATATGTAGAAGTTCTCCAACTAACTCCAGCAGATTATCTCAACTCAAGAACACTTCAGAAGCACTCAGAGACATATTCAGAAATGGAACTTTGAACAGAACTGACACAGAACAGACTGGAACAGAACAAAACTCAGATTTTCACTTCAACACATTCTCTGAACAGACTTATCACACTTAACAGAACAGAAACAGCATCACTGATTCATATTCACTCTGACCAAGTTCTCAAAAGTCTTATCAAAAGGGTATCTTGTATTTCTCTGAGTGAGCTCACTAATTCTATGCAAAGCTTGAAGTCACAAACTGATCCTTTGTCACAGCACTGCCTTCAACATGTGTGCTGGAACTTGGGAGCTTAAAACTTGCTTCTATCTACTAGGGCTGGCCTACTTATACTACAGAGAATTAGAATTACAAACATTGCACAGTACCCAGACTCCTACATGCATAGTCAACTGCCACCACCATCTTACTGAGCATCTAAGTTGGACTCTCCAGTTTTAGTCTCTTTTCTATAGTGAGCCTGCTAAATGTGTGCCAAAAGGTGCTCTCCTAACATCTGCAGGCTTGTTCTCTGATGACCAACAGGTCTAGGTGCATGGAACTATCAGTTCTGGTATATGTCTTTCAAGGCTTCTTGCTTGGATTCACAGAGGCTTCTCATAAATATGGCAACAAATGAGTCTTTGAACAATGGGACTCAGGACAATGGGATTTAGGCTCTTGGATTTCAGCTGAAACCCACTGTCCAAGTTTGTGCTAGTGATATCTGTCATCTTGCATAAGAATTTTCCTGGATTTTCAGGCATGATGCATCATAGTTAGTGAGCTCACTAAACATCATCCATCATTAAGCAATCTGAGTTAGTTTCTTAGCTCCCATGATAGTGAGCTCTAGTCTTATCATACAGCAACTGGGTTTATAGTGTGGCCTTCCTGTCAAGCATGTCCATCAGATACAATGCTATGGCTAAGTCCTGTTAATGTTCTCATACTTCTTATGATATAACCAACTATCATCTCCATACATTGCATAGTTTCAGTGCTAATGTGTCCATTTAGTCTGCTGATGAGCCTCAATGCTCTGTACACTCAGAATTTATGAATTTTGCATTATAATAAATGTCTTGTCCACTTAGCCGACTTTCTCTAAGTAGTGATGACACTGGCTTAGCTAAAGTGGACAAGCTAACTGAGCTGAGCTGCCATTTTCTGAGCCACACTCAAAACCCTAGCTCAAAGCTTTGTGCTGCTCAGCTTCTTATTCTAGCAGCTTGATTTCAGCTTAAGCTAAGCTGAGAGCTTGTTTTCTAATTGGGATGCTGACATGTTTCTTCTCCCTCCCATCATCACTACCTTCATAGAGTACATGCTCTGACAGCAGGGGCCTCTGCTTTGGTCTTCATCTTCACAGACATATATCTAAAGACTATTCTCATGCTAATATAGCCAGTTTCACCAAAACCTGAGTGATTATGATTAGATTTTCTGACCTTTTTGCTAGATAACTGCTAGATTGATCTTCAAGATATCATCTTCAACATTTCTGGAGTATTTATCTCATATATCCTCACCCTGGAGCCTTAAATCATCAGAGCATTGACAATACTGAAGCTTGAAGACCCAAAAAGTGGTAAATGAAAGGATATAGCAGACTGGCTGTCCGACTTCACATCCTCTTTGCTTATGTGATGTCTCTAGCTAGCAACACTGTCTATTCCAGTGCCACTGTCTCAATGTTTAGCAATAGTCAATGTCTGTGTTTTCACTGGCAGCAAAAACCTGACCAAATTTTCTACAAAATTCTCTGCTGTGTTTGTATAAAAACCTATGGACATTCTTTGACTTAGCACCAGCATATGATGGCACCACACCATACAGGAACTAATACGATACCCCCTCATGAAGGTGTTCTTGAGGTTGAAGGCTTTGAAATAGAGGGTATGTGTTGCAACTGGATCTTGATACCATTTAGCTGATATAGCTATGGATGAGGATCAACATAGCAGGTCCTAGGTAAAGTAAAAGAATGGCTGTGGCTTCACTAAAACAAGGTTTGGGCTTGCACTTACTAGTCCTGAATGCTGCTCATGATTATGTAGCAGCAACACTGAAACAACCAACACAGGGCAAGACAACTTCAAACAGCTTTAAGCCCCAATTATCACAGCCTATAAACAAGCAAGGTCCTTCAGATATATTATGCTGGATGGTACCTTAAGAGTGCATCTGATTCCTAGTTTGCAGAACCTCATTCTAAAACTTGTGCAATAGGGAAGAGTCATAAAAAAGGAGGAGTAAAGGCATCAACAGATGTAGTCACCGAAGGATCTGAAGGTAGCCCCTGTCATGGTCAACCACATCACCAAGAAGACCCTCCCGAGCTTGCAAAACCAGATGCCTGAGTGTGTAGACCTGTGTCTCAACATACATAAAACAGTCTCTTGAACAAAAAATGGTTTAACACATATATTAGGCATAACAACTGTACAGGATGATGATGATGAATTAAATCCCTTTGCATCTACCCTTCCACCTTCATCACCACACATACTTGAGAGTCCATATGACTTTGTCTCACCACTGTCAACTCCCTCCCATTCACATTCTGCTTCACCACTCTCTTGTTGATCTGCAAATGGTGCGATAACATATAGGTTTGTTTATTTTGAGGAGCCATCTATCACACCATCATTACCAGAGGATTCACTCTCATCACTATTGCCTTTGTTGGCATCACCTCTGTCATCTCCTGCATCAGTATTGGTGTCACCTCTATCATCAGCAAAGGAGTACCATGATGCAGACAATGTGTGGCTATTTTACATAGAAGGTGATCACCAGATTTGTAAACTATATTGGTGAGTATGACTCCTTGTACTATTATGGGTTATGGCTTGTGACAGACTCAGCACTTCGATCAAGGGCAATGAGACAAAAGCTGCTGAGAAGTTTTGGAAAGCAAATAGTATAACAATGCTCTCAGGTGCCTTATGTAGTGACACTTCATCTATTCCAAAATTCTCTCATGATGCATTTATCAATGCTATCATTGAATGGATTATTGCCAATGATCAGGTATGTAATTTTATCGCATGACTATATAACATGTACTGACTTTTTCTGAGTCAATCAATGTTATCAAGTGCCCACAACTCTGCCAAATATTTTTCATGCTTCGTGACAAACTAAATGATACAGATATTCTGCACTGTACATTTATATAGACTCAGGTTATTGAGACATGGGAGAGGTATATTCAAACCCTCAAGGGAGAAATGGAGGCAAGTCTTCATTTTCTTTGTTTCATTGTGATTTTAATTCTCTGGCAACTTCAGCATTCTATGAGTAGCATCTCCCTTACTATAGATCTCTCTGATGACCTTAACTTAGTGAACTACATGGCTGTCACTGCACACTGGATGGAGCCTGTTGGTGTTGATGCTAATGGCTATACAACTGTTTGTCTATGTTCTGACCTTATTGGGTATCATTGCATTCCTGGTCACCATGAGGGTGAACATCTCTCTGCAGCTGTTCTCTACACCACTGATTGTGTTGGCATTACAAGTAAAGATCGCAAGCATCAACTGAAGGTAGGAAAACTGTTATGCCAGAACATCTAAGCATTGACTCTCTATAACTTGGTTGGATTATGATGGATAACACAGCTAATAACAGGACATTTATGGTTTTTCTAGAATAAGATTTACTGTGCCATGGATTTTGTTTCTGCACTGTTGAGAAGCGAATAAGGTAAATAATTTTAAATCTCATAATATCTCATGTTGACTCAACTCTAGATGTTTTGCCCATATTATGAATCTTGCTGCAAAGGCAGTTATATCTGCTATTACAGCCTTGAACACTGTTCTTCTGGAAGATATGTATGTATTCAGAATGTTAAGGATGATCTTTATCTGCATTTCAGAGAGCATAGACATTATCCAGGATTCTGTAACTGCTGTTAGGGCTCTTGTATGTGTGGTGAGATTGAGCATCCTTTTGTCTTGGATAAAATTGAACTTATTGGAGTAGATTTGGGGATCATCACTCCACCGACACAGTTTTTTGTTGGTTCTCAAGACACTTGATAAAAAAGTGCTTCAACTAGTTCTTGATGTTGATATTCAGTGGTTATCAACTGATATAATGATTGAGCATGCAATTGAACTCTAGGAGGTAAGAGACCATATTTGTATTATACTTATTGCTTATCAATCATTAAGGAATTGAAGTATTCTTGGATAAGAGGGATTTCACTGATCTTCATAGGTATCAACTCTCTGAAGAGGAATGGAAAGCATTGAATATTATCCATCAGATTTTGGCAGTACATACACATCTTTTCTCAGCATAACTCTGGTTAATTGCCTTGCTAAGTGCCACATGCATTTCAACAAAAGTTATCAGCTGACAAGACTCTGACTCTCTCATTGGCAATTCCAAGTTTCCAATGTATGATACAAATCTGGCAGAATATGAAGGAGACCTTCCCTCCAGCAGCATCAGCCCTTGATGATGGACTTGCCAAACTTGAGACCTACTGTGAGCAACTGGATGTTGTTCCAGCATAGACACTAGTAACAAGTATGTTAATGTGACAAGCTCCTTTGTGATATACTGATTATATCACTTCAATCCTCAACCTTAATGCAAAACTATAATGGTTCAGTCATCACATGCCAGCAGAGGAGGATGAGGCTTAGCGATTATTTTTATACAAGGTTTGTCTTGAGCACTCCTTGTTTCTTTTTCTAATATGTACTGTATAGCTTCAAGAGTACCAGTCTTTAACCTCAATCCCATCAACACCTGCACAGTCGCAAATATCAGATCCACATAGAAGTCACTGGGTAGATGATCTACTTGGTGACAATCTCTTTGATACTGTAATGCATCCACAAAGTCTCAAGGCTGAAGTTAATGCCTACTTATTTGACGTCAAGACTAGTCATGATATTGTAAAATATTGGCAGGTAAGCTTGTATGTCTAGGTTCTTCAACATCTCATTGCTCATCAGTTTTAGGATAATCAACTTATTTATCCAACAATATTTGTGATGGCTATGAACATTCTCCCGATTCAGAGAACATCAGTACCTTGCAAACATGTCTTTTTCTCAGGAAAGAAAACTGCTACAGTATGATGGAACCAGCTATCACCCAAGTTGATGGAAGCTCTTCAGATGTTGAAGTGTGCTTTGAAATGGGGTCAATTTCTTAACTTTACAGAAGGAACATCTAAGGAGGCTGAAGTTATTGCTTTATAAGCTTTACTTGCAGAGCAGGATAGAGTATCAGAGGATGTAACTGCTTTTATTAAGCAGCTTTGCACTGCAAATTAAAATTTACATTTTCATTACTTATTTTGGTATCAAGCACAGCACTTAGCAGAAGCTGAGCTGAGCTGACAAATTTATACACAGCTTGGCCCAGCTAAAAGCTATATAAGAGCATAATCTGGGAAAAGCTGACTGGAGCTGAGTTTAGCCAAGCAGCGGCAACACTATCCCTAAGTCAACAATTACAATCATGGCAGTACCCACTTTTACTGCCAAATACCCTTCCCAGCTCGTATTCTGCATCAATATGCATCACTTCATTAATGCTGCCAGACACTTGATTGCAGATCTCATGGAATTAAGATTATCATTGATTGCTCAGCACAGCCATCGCTAACATCAGCATCAAGCATCACTTAATAGAATACTGCAGTCAAAATACCTATTCCACAGCAAAAGACTTAATACCATGACCTCTCCTCCCACTTTACTAAGGCTGTTATAATGCCAAGACAATGCTGCATGCATCTACTTCAGTGCACTAGCTTCAATGTACTTTGCCACAGCAACACAGCAGCCCAAAAGTCCATATGTCAGCAGAATTCTTTCTAATCAATAAGTCTATACATAGTAAAACCATGTGGGTGCTGTTACTTTAGAACTCTGAGAGCATGTGTTTTGCATCATTTCTTACTAATTGATGTACTAAAGACTTACTAAGGACTTATTTCAAGTATTCTAATTTTATTCCACACTTGTAGTATAAAAGCTAGTGTAGTAGTAATTTTGGAAAACAAGTAACTAGGTTGCTACAACTACTATCTCTTGTACCCACTAGGAGACAGACAATAACAACATAGTCACTCTGAGTTATACTCTCTGTTACGGCTTTTCTTCTAATGGTATTGGTGTACACTCATATTGCACCAATACATGGAATTTCATGTCCACAACTCACTTTTATCTTTTATTCCACCAGCACCATTTTACTTTCAGCAGCCAGCATTGTTTAACCAGCTTTTACTTTCTACATTGCCATTATTTTACCCCAGTTCAGCTCAGTACAGTTATGTCCCCATGTGGACACAGATTAAAATCATTATTGCCATCAGCAGTGTCTGTCACAGAATTTTGGTCAACAATATAGGATTGTCAGTCATGGCATTTGGTATCTTGCTGTCAGTTTCAGAATAGGATAGTCTCCATATAGACTCAGGATCAGGATCTGTTTTGTTTTACCACAGTTAACCTCGGTCCAGTTTTAGTTTTCATCATTGCTTAGTTCCCTTTATCATTTTCTGCCACTAGTTTCCTCTTCATATTTCTGCCAGCCAGTCTCTTTCTGTTTTACTGCCAGTTTCTTGACTACAGTCTTCATCTATTGCTGTCATGGTATTTGTTATCTTGCACACAGTATTTCTTTTTGACAGCATTTTCTCTCATTCCGCTAACATCACCCATGGCATTTACTAGTCAATTGCTGCCACTTCATTCATGGCTTGCTGGTATTTCCAGTTATACTAGATTCTGTTTCTTCTCATATATCAAGACCCTTCCTGGTGAAGAGGTGTTACAGTTTATTCATTTCTTTTCCTTTTCCTTCGTATTACTCAACCTGATTACTCGCTTGCGATCATGACAGACGCATTCTCACAGTACTATTTTTAGTTTACCAACGTGTATTTAAGTAGAGCCTCAGCTGGTCTAAACCCCAGCTTCGGCTAAGGTTTAATCTACCTAACATCGAACTCCGTCCTTCGTGACTATCTGTCCCATCAACTTTCATCGCCTTTGACTTGCTAGAGTGTCTCCTACCGAAGTGCGAGTAGGGATCCTAGTACGATCTAAGTCGATAGAGTTAGTGGCTAACATTTAGCCGAAGCTCGTCCTACGTTGCTCAGCGCCACGTCAGCGAACGAACGCTGCCCAACGATCTCGAAACATTGCATTCCCTAGTTAGACCGAACTGGTCGCTAGCGGCACTTTGACGCTTCATCGGTGCCATCTACCTTTCAGAACATCAACATTTATCTCTTCATTATCCTTCTCGTGGTAGCCGATTGGATTCTTCCACTCGTACTACCCGACCCAATCCTTACTGCCGTCCTTATAGTCCTCGTGACTACCCTTTTCGTTCTAGTGACCATCCCAGCACCACTACTAGCAGCTCTGCTCGTAGTGGCATACGTTGGTCTCCTACGAATCTAAAAAACACGAACCTCTTCTCCCTACTCTTTCGACTCGCTTCTTTGTTAACGATCCTGTTGTTAACATTAACGAGCACCTCCGAAACCAGCGAAATTCTGTTGATGAACGGCTCAAACTACGAGACCGACCTCAGCCTAATTATCGCGATCCTTATTGTCCTAACCATATTGGCTGTCTATCAGCTTGCATGGTCACTCGTCGACTTACACCAAGGATAGATCCACTTACGGATGCCCTGGTCCGACGCCATTCCCGCCGTCTTCGCGACTTTTATACTCTTTTTCTTGTCCATTATTTTGTACTGACTACACCGCTGTTTCCGACAACAGAGGCGAGTCCGTGCACAACTCCTGTTTCACTATGTTCCCAGCACTCCCGCTTACCCTCCACCAATAATCCACATCCCCACAGCGTCTCAACAGACGATACAAGATGTCGAATCCAACGCCTCCAGGGAACCTGGAGGATCCCTCTACGGATCGTCGCGACCCAGCTCGCGATACTCAGGATTGAGCACCGACTCCTACAGAAGCGCTACCAACGAGTCAGTCGACTCAGTCAACATCACCGATACCAGGGGCGTACTCCTCGACAGAGGAGACTCGCCCGTACCAGGTCTCTTCGACCAGTCTCCAGTCCAAGGCGAGCCAGGTGCCGACCGAAACCGAAGACAAGACACCAGGCCTCTGGATGAGGGCGAAGAAAGCCCTGACACCGAGTACGAAGGGGACGAGCTCAGTGAGTGGGAGAGGACTAGACTCGACGACCTCTACCCGAACACGGAGGAAGATGCAACCTATACCGGAGACAACTACAGCGGAAGGTCAGGGACAAGGTGGACAGATGCAGTCTGGCAAAGCGAGAGCAGGAGATACAGAGTCGCCCAGGAGGACGACTACGACAGTGATTCCAGAGAGCTTGGCCTTGGGGCCTCCACCACAACTACCGCCAGTGCAGATGGAACAAGATCCATTCTTCCAAACTGGCCGACGAACAGAGGCCCTCCAATCGGCTGGCACCCCAGCACCGGCTGGGTCTATGCAGAGCCCGGGGAAGAAACTCCTATGGCCCGAGTCCCATCCCCGAGGAGCCTCCCTGTCCCTGAGCACTCAGAGACCCCAACGCCCGCTCCCGCCGTCGCCAGGGCTGAGCCGACGGATCAGCAGCTCTGGGAGGAGTTCCCGAGCTACAGTCCGGAGGAGCTTGGAACAATTGCCGGGGCCGGAGACCTCGCCCCTGTCCCCTTTACACCATCGGTTGCGGGGCGAGCATTCGCTGACCCCGTCCCTATCCTCCAGCGTCCATGGACGCTACTCTACCACACGCTCGTCGAGTCGCTCGAGCTCCCTCGAGATGCCCGGGAGTCCCCAGAAGTCGAGGCCCGAATGGACCGAGCAAGAGCGGCAGACTTACGCACCCGACGTGCCGAGATCGCCGCCCTCCTCGGGCCCGACGGTTTCTATGACCTTCCCGTCGAACCTGATGCCACCCACGCCGAAGTCGAGAACCGACAACGAGCCGCCGCCCTCCGATACTCCGGGCGCGCGGAATGAGCCGGAACCGATCTCGAGGCCTGACGAAGGGCCTGGCAGGCCTACGAGTCAGAGATCAGCGACCCCGACTCCGACCTCAGAAGGTGGAAGAGGAACAAGGAGATCGACCGACTTGCCCGAGAGAGGAAGGAGGCAAAGGATGCCGAGTCGACCACCAAACAGTTCCCTCGAGGCAGAGGTGATGGAGGCGGTCCGGGCGATCCTGGTCAGACCCACGGCTCCCCTACCAACAATCTTTAACATGCTACCGTGGCAAGGCTTATACGAAATAATGATGGAGGATATGGAGAAGGACTCCCAGTGGCTCCTCACGGAGGCGGGAGAAGACTACTTATACGCGAAGTCCATGGGGGACGTATACCTCATGAAAAACATCCTAGAAGTGGAGACGTGGCACAGGGCTGCCATGGTATGGAATCAAGTGCACCCGATGCCCAACAATGGGGTTGCGAACCCTACCGCTGACCTCAGCCGATGCCCAACCTGCTCGAAACGGAAACGTTTTGGGCAGGCACGGGGCCCGACGATGAC